TTTGAACAATCTCTCGGTTTTCCGAGCATAGGTTACCAAGACATAGATAGTAGTTACCAGAGCATATGAAATCATATTTCGAGTACGTAAAATTTTCTCTGGGGGATGTCAACTTAATATATGTATGTAACAATGTACTCTAGGTACGAGAATTTGGACAAATTAGTTTATTGTCTATGGTAAATCAAGGGACAGAGCCCATAATTAGCATCTTTGATTTGGTCGGCTATTATTGAGAATTTAGATGAGAATTATCAAATATTTCTCTTAAACGGTTTGTATTTAAAGCAGAAGTACACAAATTTTCATACGTGGATATTTTTATCAATACATTTCATTTTAATTTTATCAAAATTTAAAACAAACCACTATTCCATTATCGACACTTTTGATTTGTATGATGCATTAATTAAAAATAGAATCATTGTCTATTGGCATATGATATCTATAAATAACTGTCTATATCTATTCAAATGATAAACAACTAAAACCATTTTGTATTGCACTATTGATTTGGAAAATTTTGGGTCAATTGTTTTATGGAGTTCAGATATTTGAAAGGCAATGAGCAAAGACTCTATTTATGTATGTATATAGGTGTAATTAGTGAAGTTTCATCCAAATTCTTTATTGATATTTTTCTGTTTTTCATTTGGTTTGATATACATATCCAGTTTTTATGAAATTCTACAATAATCGGTCATTTTTTGTTTTTTGTTACTTTTTCTTATTTGGAAAACATTGTTTTGGATGGTTCACTCGTGTATTTTCTTTGTCTACATTATAATAATTGTTGATCTTTCTCAGGTTTATGGTATATAAAGTTTTTTTAAGGACTAGATCTAATTTAGACAGGATAGATCTTGAATTCGTTTTGTTCTGTTCGAAGACAATTGAATGATATAGATCGACAAGGGCATCCACAATCATCGTCATCATTATCCAAGACTAAGGATTTGGATGATCCACTTCACTCGATTGGATTTGAGATCGAAGAGCTTATGCCTAGGAAGGTATCCGGCCATGTCCTCGTCACTTTCAAAAGTGTGTCATGTAAATATACAACAGCAAGATCCAAAACTGCATTGAAACTTTTTTATAGATTCATTGCACCATGGTACATGAACGGAAAGTACGGGCATAAGTATGTGTATCTGGAGTATGTAACCTTTGTATATGGGTATGTGAAAAATGAAACAAGACATAAAGATAATGTATGTAGTTACATGAATAAAGTACTCAAGTATTAACACTGATTTTATGAGTATATTTATACATTACAAATGTATTATTTGTAAAGTAGCAGGTATATTTGAATTTAGTTAAATTCCTACAGCGATGGAGAATCTCTAAATGAAGTAACAGTAGGTACATAACTAGTATGATTTCGTACACCAAGCCAGGTTTGAGGCAACAATCATATACTTTAACAACCAATATGTTTATCACTTATGACTTGTTTAGACATCTACAAGTGGAGGTTAGACTATGATTGTACATATATCATACAACTTAACTAAGTCATTTCTGACTTGTTTAACCATCCATAGTAAATATGTATTGTTTATTTTTTTATACAATTCGAAGTGTCGTGGGAACACTACCATGATGAATTCATCTCTGGTCCGACATCAAACGAATATTTCGAACTGAAAATGACCGATTCCCCAACCACATGTTACCAGGGCATATATATTTGTTACTAAACCATATGAGACTATTATTATAGGTACGTAAGATTTGTGCCAGGGTACGTATATTTTGTATGCAGGTATGTAAGTATGTGATTCGGGTACAAACACCGACTAATGAGGTATAAATAATGGTTGCTTAGGTATTATTTGTGCAGTACCAGGTATCCTCGAATTTAGTTGATTTCAGTCAACTCACGCAGAGGAACTGATTCACGAACTCGGTAAGAACATTTCCTCGGTTAACCTCGGTGGACCGAATATTGTTGTATATACTACAGTATGGATTACTATGTAATAGGTTTAAATAACAATCAATCCGTGGGAGCAATGATGTATGATAGTGTTTCCCCATCGGATTCTTGTAACATGTACTCTTTGCATGTTAATACCCTTCAGAAATTGGTAGAAATTTCTATCTTATTTAATTTATCCCCGGTTACCATTAACATATGAGTATATATTGCTTCCTATTATTATTTTATTAAAAGTATTGATTGTGTCAATGGTATTTTTGTGAGATTAAATTTACTTTTAGTGACACAATTATATAAGAATGAGACTTGTTTAGACTATAATGGAAATATGGGTATATTGGTGTATAATAGATTGCATCCTAGAACTTGTATTATTCTTATATTTTCAACTTCATCCAACTAAGTTATCTATGAGTACCAACAATAATTGAATATTTCGAATTCAGAATGATCCGTTTCCAAGAAAAAGTTATCAGGACATAGATACTCATTACTAGAGCATATGAAATTGTATTATAGGTACGTAAAAACTACCCCGGGGTATTTTGATATTTAATGCAGTATGTAACAATATGTTATGGGTACAAGCATTGAAATCAAGGTATTATTGATGACTGCTTAGGTATTATTTATGTAGTAGTAGGTATCTTTGAATGTGGTCGACCTCACTCTATCCCTTGACGGATGAGGCAATTAAGGAACCCGGTAAAACACTTTTTCTATTAGCACTTTTTCACTTCATTGGTGGTTGAGAGAAATGACAGCGATTGAGATGGTATAAACCTTTGCAGTACATGTATATATTTTTCTTTCTTAGGTGCACCACTAATGTACTCAAGTATCCGTAAATACACTTTTGTTCATTCTAGGCATTACTTCAACAATTGCAAGGTCTTGTAATGAATTATTTAATTCCAATTTAAGAGAAGTATGCATAAGTTTTTTGACTCATTCTTGTCTTCGTTCAATGATAATATTCCTAATTGATGGTAACATGTATATGAGCATTTATGTATTTTGAAGGTATTTTGATCTAGTGAGACGGATACATCGATCTCTTGTGGAGGTACATCATGTGCATTATTGCAATTCTGACGATGTGAAGAATTAATCATACAATCATTCACAGTAAAATTGATAGCATTACTCCAAATATTAAGTTTCATCAAATTCAACCCACGATTCAATCTCTCAATCAATCTTAATACAATCTCATCAAATCGGAGACCAATCGAACCAATTCAACCAACGGTTCAATCCGAAAATAACATATTACCCAAACCAAACACAAATAACATAACCCAAATTCATTACAGATATTCATTTACCCTGTGCTACTCATCAGAATCTACGGTTCGGAGGATGCACCTTTCAGTATTCTGGCCGCAATTTTACTGTGGTAGCTTTTCACATTATCAAACTCGCCACCGATACCACCAATGAGATGGACTGCCAGATTCGTGTGGGCATAACTTTTAGCGAACATGAGGACAAAAGGATTGCAATCGAGAGTATCACCTTGATGTCGACATCTTACGTATTCGGGCGTTTTCCTTACTATGGGCCATAGGTGTATTGTGATTAGGTACAATTGTACAAGTATAAAAAATATGTCTGCAAAAATAACACAATAGTTTGTTACGTAATTTGGTTTATCCACGGTCAATTAATTATATTTATTTCGTAAATGCACTAATTTTTTCGCATTCCCTTGTTCGAACGGATTATGCAGTGAATTGCACTCAAGCACAACCCCACCTACGGTCTATTAATAAATATCATTAATCTATATTACCCAAATCTCAAATTTATTAAAAAATTTATAAGAATTTATCAGGAGTACTTAACAATACATTTTGAATACACAGTAGTCCCTTAAAAGTATACTCTTAGCATAGTAGACCTAAAAGATACAACTTAGGGTACCTAACAATACCATATTTTCCAACCTAAAAAACATGACTAATTACCGAAAAAATCAAACAAAAAAAATAAAATAAAATATGTAACTTCATATAACTAAAAAGATATACATTTACAAAATTAACAAAAATCACAGATTAAGCAAATAAAATCACCCAAATCGGTGCAAAAGTAAAACACCCAACCTGATCTATGTGGGCAAACATACGAACAATTTCAAACTCGATTAGCAAACACAACTACACCAATCACCCAGGATTCCTTAACACTGAACCGAGACATACAAACACGGGACGAAGACCCAAATAATCAAAACTACGGTATAACATACTAATGTCAACAAAATAAAAAATCGAAAAAGTCCGACTAGACACTTACTTCTTCAAGCTTGTCGGGGATGGGAGCAGGTCAGTTATTTTTTTTACTATTTTTGCACCGATCAGACGCTACTTGATCGCTAGGGATTGGAGAACGTCGGTTTCCTTAAAAATGGAAAATATAAGGTTTAAAATCGAGATGAGGGGAGTTATCAGAAGTTTCCTGCCTCAGCCCCTATTAAATCGTATGTAACTGTTTTTATTTTATTTTTTAATTCGCGAAAAAATGTACGCGATATTTAACTAGAAGTATATAGGATTATAATGGGGGTATAGCGGAAAATAATGTAGGTATATATTACAACTTTTGAAGTATTGATAAACTTATTTCAAGTACCTGATGCGTATATAACATTAATTGAGGGGAAAATACAATTGAGGAGCTATAACATACCTAATCTATAAAGTATAGACTGCAGTCTAATTTATTTTAAATAGGGATTTATAAATGGATTTTAATCCAATTTTCCCAATAATATACTCCCTCCGTCCAGCTACAAAATATACATATTTCTATTTTGGAAAGTCCAATTACAAAATAACCATTTCATTAAATACCCCACTTTTTTTTCACAAATATTTTTATTTTACATCACATCATTATTTTTATACCAAAAAAATAATGACAAAAATATCATTACACTACTGTTATCTATCTACTATAATTAAATATTATTATTTTTTAAATTTTTCGCCAAAAGAAAATATATGGCCGGAGGGGGAGTATCAAATTATTAATTATTTATAATTCAATATTTCTCCTTCCCAATCCCTAAATTTACTCCAGCGCCGCTCGCACCAGTTCCCTTCCTCAGCATCCGACCGCCGCCGTCGTCCTCCTCCACACGCGCCGCCGTCGACAGTCTCGGCGCCTTCGCAAGGCCGCAGTTCCGCCGCCGGTGTTCGTTCCCCGTCCAATCTTCACGCACCCGGACTCAGACCACGTCACTCCGTCGGCCGCCTCTGCTTCCACCGTTGGACCGGCCGCCCAGTCCGAGCTCCGCCTGGTAAGTTTGTGTTTATTTTCAGCGCTGAGACTTTTGGATTTATCGATTCAGTAGGCTCGTTTCAGTAGATTTTTGGATTTATGGATTTATTTTCACGGCCGAGCTCCATAGATTCTTCTGCATTTTCCACTAATTGGTGGACTGAGAGCGTGGCGTTGTAAGGGTCAACAACAGTGTCCGAGATCGTAGGTGAGGGGAAAGCAGAGTTCCCATTCCTGATCCGAGTGAATGGCACACTTGGAATCCTCTAAATACAGAAAGTTAGTATCGTAGCTAAAAAAGGTTGCGTAGAACTGCTAGGTAGGTTTGAGTGTCGGTGTTACCTTGGAGGCAGTGACAGTTCTCTGCTTCCGTACGAACAACAAAGTCAAGCACAGAGTCGACCAATTCAGCTCCTTCGGTGTAATGCCCAATTGTTTCCCGCACCATTTTGTCCAGTCCGTAGGCTGTCCATAGTCAGGCTGTCGATAGTCCCCGGTTCCAGTCTGTCCGTGGGGCATATCTCCCTCCACTGGCCTCATTGTAGTAAACATTGACCTACCCTCTCGAGCTGTACCATGCTCATCACCAATCTCGTTTTCACATTGCTCTGGTTGAAATTTTCTTTTATATCTAATTCCTCCTCAGACAATAAAATTTGCCCGGGATTTAGATCAAACCAAGTAGGCTTGACAGAGAGAATTGATTTGGAATTATATAATGGATGAATCAATCAAAAGGTGAAGATTTGAGTATTTGTTTAAATACTGTTTCCTCCGTCCCGGGTCAGATAACCCCTTTGCTTAGGTACATTGGGTTTTGAGTTCTCATGTACAAGAAGTTTGAAATTTAATTAAATTGATTTATATTTGTTAAGTATGTTTAAAATGAATAAATTTACTAAAAATATAAATGAGTTATCTTTTATGGGATGGATAAAAAAGAAAAATTGGTCATGTCTGGCTAGACAGGGTAATACTATCATTTTGATGTGATGTTTTGTGAAAGAAAAAAATATATTTTTATTGAAAACGGTGCAAAATAAATTACATTGATTGCAGTTTGAAATCACAAATAATAAAACAAACCCAAGATGTTGATGTTAGTTGGTAATTTTTTTATTTTGGTTTTTGTTTTGGTTTTTGAGTTGAATAGTAATTTGAATATAATGTTTTGGTAATTTTTTTATTTTGGTTTTGGGTTTGGTTTCTCTCTCTCCACCCACACCCACCCCCTCTCTCTCATCTATATATATACACATATAAGATATCACTTATTCATGTTTCCTCCTGTCGAAAATCAAAAGGTAGTCCTCACTAATATTAAGATTGGAAGATTCTTGATAGTCTTCTTCTTTTACTTATTTGTTTATTTGTTTTTCTTGAAGAGGAGATTAATGGGGGAAGAATGGCTGGATTGGAGTTGGGTTGTTGCAGCAGCAGCAACAGCATCGATTGTTGTTATTATTATTATTAATATGAGAAACAGAAGAAGAAGAACTAAGGATGCTGATAGGGTTCCTGGAGGGAGTTGGGGTTGGCCGTTGATAGGCGAAACCTTGGATTTTATTGCTTCTGGTTACTCCTCCAAACCCGTCTCCTTCATGGACAAACGCAAATCCCTGTACGCTTATCTTATTCCATTCAATTTCTTACCAAAAACAATAACATCAAAATTCTATCTTCAAGTCTGTTCTCTGCAAATTAAACTCATACTATGTCTATATGTTTGATTTCATTGCGATGAACTTTGTTTGATGTGCTAATGTTTATCTATGTTTTTGGTTTTTATTTTTTATTTTTTTGTTGTCTGTTGAATGGAAAGCTAAAAGCCGATTACCCCACAAAGATATGATGATCTTTCTTAGGAAAGAAAAAGGTCAAAATGATACTGCTACTCAAGTTTCATGAATTAAACTTATGATTCAATAGCTTTTGAACCATTTTATTATATGTATATATATTTGCGTTTTTTGGGTTTCGATTGAGAAAATTTAAGGTATGTTTTTTTTTTGGGTGAATTTCATGAAAGTCTATTTGAATTTAATATTAAAATAATATTTGATGATATATTTTTAAAAAAAAATGTATTTTGTTATAAAAGAAATACAGAGTAATTTGGCAAAAGAAAGTTTGTCTTGTATTTAAATAATGTGTGATGTATTCTTTTCTGAGAGAAAAAAGAAATGTATATATTTTTTGAATTAGTAAAAAATTGGAAATTTTTTTAAAGAAACAGAGTTTAACTTTGAAAATTGTAAAACATTTTTATGATATCGCAGAGCTATTTGATTGTATTAAAAATATTGTTTGTTTCCTTTTTTTGTAATATAAATAGAAAATAGATATTCGATTTTATTACTTTAGAGTAAAAAAATTGATGAATAGTGTAAACTCTATATGATTTGTTTTAGTTACAGTACTGTTAAGGAAAATTTTCAAGCTGTAATAAGCCATGGAAGGTTGGGGTAATAAAAGCTTGGTTGGCATTGCCATTGACAGCAGTGCATATGGTCCCCGGCATCCATTTCTAGCCAATTTCTCGCGACACGACGAATTAAACATCGAATTCATAAATAAAAACAAAAAACTGCACGTGTAGATTTACATTCGAAGTGATTAACATTGAAACGAAGTAGCAATTGTTTTATCTTCGATTCTGCAAATAATCGTCGCCCAATTTTGGTCTATTTGATGTTAACTGCGTCGAATTAGCTTTGTCGTATCAAATGGATTCGGTTAAATGCTATATAGGATGTGTGTCATTTCGAAATGATCTTTAAACGATATATATTTTTTTTGGTGTTGAAGTAGTTAAATTTTGTCGATTAATAAAGTGTACTATTGTCATGTGCTCATACAGATATGGGAGTGTCTTTCGAACTCACATCTTAGGAAAGGCGGTGATCGTCTCCACCGATCCCGATGTTAACAAACACGTTCTGCAGAATCACGGCAATGCTTTCATACCGTCGTATCCAAAATCTATAAAAGAACTCTTCGGAGAATCTTCGATACTCCAAATGAGCGGACCTTTGCACAAGAGGGTGCATGGCCTTATCGGAGGTTTCCTAAAATCGCCGTCGCTAAAGGGGCGAATCACCGAAAATATTGAGAATTCTGTCCGAGCTTCGCTATCGACATGGAAAGATAACAATGGTCAAGTTTACGTTCAAGACGAAACCAAAAAGGTTTTTTTCGTTTTCGTAAATATGCATTCTTACATATCCATAATGTCTTCGAGTTGTATGTATATTTCTCATTCATTCGAACTCTTCCGCGTATTTTACGGCAGCTTACCTTCGAGATTTTAGTGAGAGTGCTTTTAAGCGTCGGCCCAGGTGAAGAGATGAGGTTTCTAAAGAGGGAATTCGAGGAATTCATCAAAGGTTTAATTTGTTTACCCATTAAGCTCCCCGGAACGCAACTGTATAAATCCTTGCAGGTAAATTTGTTTTTATCTTCGGTAAATGTCTTTACGTAAATATGAGAATTTTCAATTGTCGATACACGCCTTTTGTTTTCAACAGGCGAAGAAGAGATTATTGCAAAGGGTGGAAAAAATTATAGAAGAGAGGAAATTAATCATGGTAAAAACACAAGAGAAAAAAGAACTTCCAAATGATGCGATCGATGTCCTATTACGTGACAGTGATGAATTAGAAGAAATGCTCGATCACAAACTCCCGCCTAATTTTATCAGCGGTAACATTATCGAAATGATGATTCCCGGAGAAGAGACTGTGCCAACGGCCATGACCCTCGCCGTTAAATTTCTTGGCGACCACCCCATCGCGTTAGCTCATTTAGTGGTACGCTTCCGTTTATTTTATTTTATTTTTGCAAAAGTGGATACACTTCACATTCAGTTTCTAAGGACATTACGACTATTTTCGTAAGATTATTTTGTGCGTGCTATTTTGGCGCCATGATTTAACTTTTAGGTGATCATTATTTGCGATCATAATTTTTAAGGCTCTATTTATACAGAAATTTTGAGAATTTAAAAAAAAAAATTAAATAGTAAAAAATTAGGTATTTGATGTGATGTTTTTTGAAAAAATTACTGTTGGTTGATGAACAATGTCAAAAGTTCTAAAAAGTGTTTATGTAAACATAGTCTTAGTTGTGCATGTGTCGTGATTAAATACAATTATGAAATGCTGGTACAACTATCTATATTACGCGCCAAGAACTGGGAATTCCCGTATAGTTTTGTGGGCCGGCGACGGCAAGGTCAACCTCAATCTATGATTGTAGGATTCACGACTGATTGAGTCATTTCATTATTTATTGACGAGCGTATGAATGCATGTGGGAGGTATCATTATGTGTTGCCCACTTGCATTGCGAATAATGAAATTTGCAAATTGCTGAATTTTTATGTTGTCGCCTAATAAATTTCTTAACACTACCAATCGATAAAATTGATATATTTGTTTGACCTGTTGCAATTACGTTGTGATTTTTCTCATTTCGTTTCTCGTCTTTGGTTTAACGAAACAATGCCAGGAAGAGAACATGGAACTTAAGAAGAGCAAGGAAGAATCTTGCGAAGAATATTCGTGGATGGATTATTTATCGTTGCCGTTCACTCAAAATGTAAGAACACAATTTCCAACCCTAATCCAATTTTTGTCGCGCAATTGATTCTTGTTTGACTTATTACAATTTTATCCGTCTCGAGAAGGTTATAAGTGAAACACTTAGGCTAGCAAACATCATCAATGCAGTGTGGAGAGAAGCTGTCAAGGATGTCAGAGTTAAAGGTTGATTTAAATTGTTTTTAGTAAAGTTTGTTGTAAATATTTTACTCGGAAACTTGATATTAATTATTCCGCAGGTTACTTAATACCTAAAGGGTGGTGTGTTTTGGCTTCCTTAAGCTCGGTACACATGAACGAAGCTTATTACTGTAATCCTTACGAATTTGATCCATGGAGATGGAAGGTGAGAGTCTTGTGCACATTTCTAACATTCTTATTGTCCTCTGTAACATTGATGTCAGACTTAAATTTCCGCACATGATAGGGAGCCGACACTTGATTTTATGCTTATATTCGAACATTACAGCTCGAAATTCGGATATGGTGTCAATTCGAAGCATTTTTTATTTATTCTGATGGGACATTCAATAATACCAAGTTGTTTGTCTTGTTTTCCTACCAAAATTGATCATTTTAGCACATGGTTGTAGCACGTTCTGACGAAAAGTTCATTGTTGCATTGCAGGAAGTCGGAGTCATCGCAAGCAATAATCTTTTTACGCCGTTTGGTGGAGGGCAGCGGCTGTGTCCTGGTTTGGAACTCTCGAGGCTTGAAGTATCAATATTCCTTCACCATCTCGTTACAACTTATCGGTACGCATCACATTATTTAATTCGATAATTTTTTCTAAAATTCATCAGGAATTGTGTCGTCAAAAATATGTTAGGAAACACACATTTATTATTTGCATAAATAACGTATAAGTGTAAGAACATAATTAAGTTATAAGAGTCCTCACTTACTAAAGAGTGTGTTGATATGAGTATTTTAGAGTCCACACTTGATAAAGAGTGTGTTGATATGATTTAAATTATAGAATATTTTGGTAAAAATACTTATAATTCATTTATGATTTGAAAATTCTGAAACCATTATATTTGATGATTTAGAAATAACATGAGACTCCTTGTGTTTTCGAAATATTGTCTCTTTTTAGGAGATTTTATGCAATAATTTCAAAAATACAAGGAAGTTTTGCAATTTTTAGGGAATTTTATATAACATTTTTTAAAACACAGGAAACTATTGTGCAAATTTTAAATCAGAGAGAGTATTATGATATCAATTTTTCTATTCACAGGTAGATTATAAGTAATTTTTTCAAATATTGTATTAATAGTGTGGGGTCTACATTTTACCAAATAAGAAATATGTCTATTGTTTGCGTACATAAATGATCCTCGTTTCTAAAAGATATGTTCTTTTTGCAGGTGGACTGCTGAGAAGGACGATATAACATATTTTCCGACGGTGAAAATGAAGAGGAAGCTCCCCATCACAGTGATGCCCTTAAAACAATGAATTTTGGTTACTTTCGGTTTGATGGTCTATTTTGTTTCCTTGTTTATTTACGATCCTTTTGTACTGTATAGAAGTCAGGGAATTGGCGAATACGACTCGCATGTGTGATCTTGATAAGCATATCCATATAGAACATGGGGTACTAATTTAAAATTGTGAACATTGTCCAGTTTGGGGAGAGATGCTTAGATTGGAGTGTTAAGAGGGTGAGCTTTTGGAAAGTCCTTACAGTACGATTGATTGAGTCAGATACAAAAACTTGTGTTAATATATGGAATCTGTGTACAATTGAGCTACATATATATACTAAAATGCTACACTAGTTCACAATTTTGTGGCTTTGATTTCTTTCTTTTTAATTTGTAATTTTAATCTTAAAATAATAATAATAAGTGTTGCTAATATGAGAATGTGCCAATAATTGGTGTGGCCCATCCATAACATCAATGACAAATACAATGAATTTAGAGCAAAAACATGCCAAAAAGAATAGAACAAGAAGAGGGCATTTTAAGTAATGCTTTCAATAGGCTCTCCACAAAAAATTGACAAATTAATTTTGCAATGTCACATTTAGGAATTGGAAAATATTGGAGATGAAAAAGAAAGCTTATAACTGATAATTTTTCTTGTTAAAAACATAAACAAGCAACAGAGAAAGAGTAACAAACATCAAAGCAAATGTAGCAAGCCAATCCATCTTATCTTCTACGCTTTTTGTCGTCAATCTGTTCGGGCTTTGTGCCTTCAAGACCCCGGCAATTGTCTGGATTGAGCATATAAAGAAAAAGAACATATCGAGAAATGAGCATCTCAAATGTCACAAACAAGAAGATAAAATTCAATAAAAGGCAGAAGGATCTATCGAGATATATACACCTACTATGGTATACTATGGAACGTTGTAAATGGCGGCTAAGCAATGCACAACAAAAACCTTGGCCAATAAAAAAATTACGGATCAATAACTAAGAAAGGATTTGGGGAGTCCAAAGGCATAATACCGTTGCCTCACAACACAAACAGGAAGTGCTGCACAATCATAGGTTGATCTCAAAGATCGACTCGCATCCGGAGAAACTTCTTAGGAGACGCCCGTATATCCAAAGTTTCCCATAGCAAGCAAATTTAAATATTAGAGTCAATAATATAAGACTGTTATCTTCACTATTCTTATAATATTAAACTATTTTCTCTCATTCAACTGCTATTTAAACTAAAATATGAAGCTAAAACACAAAACTAAATACGAGCCAAATATGTTGTCATAGTTGATAGATTATAAATGCACGAATATTTAAACAAACATTGCTAATCATATTTCTCTCAAAATTAGATTCAACTTCGGTTTAACTTTGATCCAGGCATGACTCCGAAGATGATGAGTAAAAGAACAAACTGATTTATTGTGCATTGGACACAGCAAAACTAAGTTTTCTGTTCAGAGTATAATTTCATAATTTTCATAATAACCAAGTTTGAAATCTGAAGCCCACACACACGTCGTTACAGACACAAGTTTGGATCTTATAGTGATTCTATGAATATAGCCTAGGATAATTTGTCTAGCAAAAACACCATCGAAATAACCAATTCTGGCTGCTTTCACTACCCACAAATGCATATCCATTTGTATCCCGATAAATCAGATCCATCAACACCAGTCAGGTCACAAACTTAGGTCTCAGAATTCGCTAATACATCAAACATCAACCTTAAAAACATTGAATGTTCATACTTTAGGAATGACATCAACTCCAATATAATTATAAAAATACAAGAATGCTCAAAATTAACTATGTAGACAATGACAATACACAAATATAATATTATAAAAGCATGACAACGGTCTAACCCTATTCTTCTCATCCTTCTTCGTATAACCAAACAATATTTTCCAGCAATAAATCATCATTTCGGTTCTCTCTCACATACATCTGACATCATATCATCATGAGCAGCATCACATGCTTCGCTTGGCTTTGTTCGATCATGAAAATATATCCCAGCTTCCTTGAACAGAGATAACAACTGCAGAAGATTGTCATTGGATAGTTTTGAGGGCCTCTTATCCAAATAACCACCGCATCCCAAAATGCTTATAATTTTCTTCCTGAAAGAGCTGACGTCAATTCCAAATCTCATAATCGAATCACCGTGCCTTTCATCCCTTACAAACTCCTCATCCTCTTCCCTAATGCTGTAATAATCCGATGAATTGGAACTACAATCTTCACAGGAACTTCCTTCCGACATTTTCATTAGCTCCATTAACTTTCGATTTTGCTTGAACGTCGCACCTAAACTCTTGTTTTTCTTCCTAAAACAAGTCCTCGTGAAAGCCCACCACTGATTCAAGACCACTTCCAGGACCTCAATTATAGGATAAATTTTGACAACAGAGGAATCCACCTTGGGACATGGTACAAAGTCTCTTTTGCTCACATTCATTACAAAGTCTACGTTGGCCATCAGCATAATATTCACAACCAATCTATTGAACTCAAAATCACCAGGCTTCGCTAGTAACCTCCTCAAAATCTCTTTCTGAAGCAATAGTGTAGCACTCCTAAATGGTTTCACCTTCGCCCCATACACTAATTTGTAACATCCCGGTTGGCTCAAACCGGAGTGTCACTGCCACGCCACACCGAAAGGCTCATCAACAAACGAGCCCTACATTGTGGCGCTAAGGCTAAAATAACGATTAGAGATTTAAAATTAAAGTGCACCAGCTTATCAATTATATAATTAAAGTTCGAGTCAAAAGCATGAGTCGGAAATTAGTTTAAAAGACATTAGTTCTTAAACATTAATAATAGATTTCAAAAGTATTCTAGAAGATAAAAGTAGTTCTAATTCCTCGATGGATCATATGACGTGAATACATCATTTAGGTATAACGGAAGCACCATCACCTACCCAAAAATTTGTAAAAAGAGTGTTAACATGACAATTGAGTAAGCGCAATTAATCAAAGATATTATAATCCGGCATAAGTCATAACTCATGTGTAAATGTCACAAAATCATTTGAAGAACATAATTTGAATAAAATGTCACATATCACATAAGATAACTCACACACACACAAGTCTTTTAGAGCCTCCTTTATATCTCATTTTTATTCTCAAATAATGGTTATGTCATGAATAAAACTCCACTAGGCCTTAATTAGGGCTGGCTCAACCCGATTTTGCAACCTTATTACTTTGTACGACATGTCACATAATTACACATAACAAACATAGGATCACAACCCTCAAGAAAAGCTCCACAATATGTACATAAGGGTTCGAAGCCCAAAGTACACATAAGTCAATTTATTTATTAATTTGCGAGGGGCGCCAAATAGCCCATAACCCTCTAGTCTCCAATATAACATACCAAAAGGGGATTGTACGTAATCTATCCCTCCATCACAGATGACGGTCTAAACACCTTTTCATTGTGAATGACTAGCACCTCAGAATCATCCAAAAAAAGGAACCCATCATCTCGATCCCTTGACCTAGCCCATTCGGGTTTTAGTTCGAGGTTAACTAGTTGTCCTAAAAGGCCGGTATACCTTCACGTGTTTGCAAGGCACAGAAGTGGAAGACTATGCCTTATCATCCAAACAATCGACGATTTGATCGGACTTGACGGGTAGTTTCAATTACTAATTTGACCAAATACTCAATATGCTATTAGACAATTTCTTAAAAAGAGTTTTAAACTCAAAACATTTCCATTGCCAAGATTTAGCCAACCAAGCAAAGTACTTAGAATCCAACAAATTCATTTAAGTCTCACTTTATTTTGCCAAGTAACCGTTTAGATCATATGTCTATCCAAGTAAGCATAATCTAACCCCAAGAATCGCCTTATTTAAAAACAATCCCAAATCATTTCCAAAAAATCATAACTAGGCTAGGGCAAGGTTTTAGAACAAACCTATTTAAAAATAATTTCAAAGAAACCACCACGAATTAACAAATAGGTTAAGAGATATAACATATCAATTATATAAGATTAATCTCACTTACCTTACAAGAAGAGACCAAAAGGGAGGGTTTTGGAGAAGAAAACCTCCAAGGAAGAAGAGGAAGATGGTTGGGCGGCGGCAGCTGGCAGGAGGGAGGGCTACTGCCTCTATTTTTTTCTTTAAATAAAATAGACATGGACTTATACCTAATTAATTTTTTTATTCCTTTTGGGCCCAACTTTGGCCCAAACACCTTTAATTTTAATCAAATTATAATTTTCTCTCACCACAAACTCCCCAAAATAATATTGTCCGACTCCGGCATGGACCCCGGCAAGCTCCGGCAAATTTCCGGCGATTATTTTACGGGGTATTACATCCTCTCCCTTAGGACATTTCGTCCTCAAAATCGATCCGCACGCCCAGAGCTTCCTCAAACAACTTCGCCAATTTAAGCTTCAAAAGATTAGTAGAAAATTCCGGCATGGACCCCGGCAAGCTCCAACAAATTTCCGGCGATTATTTTACGGGGTATTACATCCTTCCCCTTAGGACATTTCGTCCTCAAAATCGATCTGCACACCCGTCGCTTCCTTGAACAACTTCTCCAATTTAAGCTTCAAAAAATTAGTAGAAAATTCTATGTCTCCGATTATGACAAACATTCCTACAAAAAGACAATTACAAGGCACTAGCTCTCCTAAAGGCAGCTTAATCTCTACCGAAACCTCTACTCGAGAATCTAATTCTAACTTCTCAGCCCATCTACTTGATATGAAAGAAAGGGATGCACCAGAATTAAAAAGAATAACTACAATCAAAGAATTCAGCAAGGACATACCAATTAGGACGGCTCCCTTGTTCTCCACGGCTTGACCTCTCATCATGACATTGATGAGAAACAACTTACTACAAAAAGACAATTACGAAGCACTAACTCTCCTAAAGGTAGCTTAATCTTTACCAAACCTCTACTCGAGAATCTAATTCTAACTTCTCAGCACCTACTCGATATGAAAGAAAGTGATGCACCAGAATTAAAGAGAATAACTACAATCAAAGAATTCACCAAGGACATACCAGTTAGGATGGCTCCCTTGTTCTCCACGGCTTGACCTCTCATCATGACATTGATGTGACCCATCTAGCCCCTCATTCCTCATCTTGCGCGCTGAGGTAC